GACCCTGACTGACTGACTGGACACTACAGCACAGAGACACTGGCTGCTTTCTATAAGTATCTGTAATAATATTCAAAGGCACATCAGAGATTAATGGAAATTCCAGAACAGAAATTGTATGGATTGCTGGCTGAACAATTTTTGCTAGACATTTCAGAATGCCTGGAAATCGGGCAAATGTAAAACCCAGGGTCTCTGAAGGAAGAAAAAAGCACCATATCCCATTGCTCCTTGCAGTGTGGCACTACAATGAGAGGAAATAGGGTTTTTGTATCTTTTTGTTGTGTCTGGGAATTGTAGTTCCAGCAGTCCTTGTGGTCCTGCACTGTCACAACGGGGAGCTGGCGGGCTTCGTACCCGGCACTCGAACTCCACCCTGGCGCTGAGGGACACCAGGTTCTCGATGCTCTTCATCTGCCTGATGCTGTTGTTGCTCTCCTGGATGAGCTGAGAGAGAGGGAGAAAGGGCGAAATTAAACCCCGGTGCTCACTGGGCTGGCAGCGCGTTACACGCATGGCTGGCTTCTTTCAGGAAACAAACGGGGGAGACACTTGGGTCAGTTGGTGTAGTATCGGCTTGGTGGACCCCGCGACCCCATGACCTCTTCTCGTTTGTACCCCTTTCGTGTGCTGTTATGTGGACCTTGCACGCAGACTGACCTTCTCCAAAGACTTCAGGGCCCTGCTGGCCTGGAACTCTTCGGCAGAGTTGTGCGGCGTCCTCTTCAGGATATTCTGAATGAGAGGGGAAGTAAAGCAGACTTTCTTACTGTACGTCTGACGGGGGATTCATGGCCACAAAATGCGGTAATTTCCAATGATTTCAAGTCCTGGAATCAGCCTTAAAAGTTACATTTAGGGCAGTCGGTTGTGCTCAGATGCAGTCTTGCCAGGAAAGGTTTTTCTTATAAAAGCTCCAAGCGGGGAATAAAAAACGGAAAAACCAGAGTAAACGATGGACACTACTTATACTGAAAGCATATACTTTGCCTATAGTTCAGGTGGGGAGCTGCATCAGAATGCTTAGGCTGAAAAGGAACAAGTAATAGGTTTATTCCGAAGACCCAAGAGTCCCAGGGATGAGGGAGGGAGGTGAAGAGATCAAAGACCCAAGACTCTCAGGGATGAGGGAGGGAGGTGTAGAGACCAAAGACCCAAGACTCCCAGGGATGAGGGAGGGAGGTGTAGAGACCGAAGACTCGAGAGTCCCCACAGATGAGGGAGAAGGTGGGATAATGACCTGTGACTCAAGAATCACAACCACAAAAAGAGATGGCGATGTACTTTGGCTCTTGTCTCCAAGAGGAGGACCATAACAGAGTGCCAGTGCCACCCTGGTCTGGAGTAACTGGAGCCCATTAGTCCAGTAGGCGTAATATTGGTCAAGCAGCTGGCTGTGGCTGCTGACTGACTGAATTCACCCCCGGCACTGAGCGAAAAACACTCATACCTGCACCAGCAGCTTGAGCCGGGTGATTCTCTGGAAAGGGAGGATGAGGAAGGAGCGAAGAGGGAGCCTCTGGCACATCGGATTTCTCTCCAGCTTCTCCACAACGCGCTGAAATCCCGGGCACGACTCCCTGAGAGGAAGGGGAGGGGAATCAGACAGGGGCACTAACGTAGTTTTTTTGCCAAGGCTTCTGGGTAACCGTCGAGACGCAAGGGGTGCCGGTACAGAGGGAGAGGAGGGTGGGCCGAGGGGCAAAGGGATGACTGGGCGGGCGAAGGGCAGAGACAGCGGCACGGAAGAAGGGTTCGAGAGCCTGAAACACTGACATGAGCCTCTGGAAGGTCTTCTCCTGGTAGGACTGGTTGGTGAGGTACGGCACGTACACCTGCCGGAACCACGGGCAGTGGCGCTCGATGATGTCGCAGACCGTGAAGTTGAGAATGTCCTGCTCCACCCGCTCCTCCAGCTCGGCAAGGAACCTGAGGCGGAGGAAGAGCAGAGCGAGAGGGAGGGAGATTTCAGGACTCGGGAACAACACGTCCCATGAGACTCTGCACTGTGAATGCCAACAGTCAGGATGTCCACCTGCGACAATGTAGGTGTCGTTACCGCCAGCGTTCAGTAAATATGTCCATCGGTATATACAATTAGTAACTGGTAAAGTGCTTTAAAAGGATTTAATAGTCTTAAATACAGTATGTTTCAATCTACCAAGTAAGATTAAATGAGGAAAAAAAGACGTTTTCCTCACCCTGCAGGTACAGTATAAGTAGCGAAGGTTTCTCACCTTTTCACTTTCTTTATTGCTAAAACTGTCATGAATGGACAAACATAAAACTGCTTTTACCACAGGGTTGTATATAAGAAGAGTCTTTTACAAATGGGGCTCCCTCCTCTCTAAAGAGTTAAAACGCTTCATTCCCTGCTGGTGACTGAGCGCGGGCTGCTGTGTACTGTGAACCGTCTAGACCCTCATCTCCCCCTGACACCCACCTGTGGCTGACCGCCCGGACTTCACTCAGCCTGGAGAACAGCCAGTTCCTGTCCTGTGCGCTCAGCAGGGCCCCCAGCTGGCTAGAGTGCTGGAAGTGGTCAACGGCGATGTCCAGACTGCGGGCGTAGGAGGCCTCCGAGCTCACCACCTCAAATTGCACCTGGGCGAGAGAGGGGACAGGAGTGGGTGACCGCCGCCCGGCCATGGAGACGGGCCCCGCGGTGGGGACAGGCTCCGGGGGCCACATCCTGGCCTTTGAGATTGACTGAAGCGGGCAGACCCAGCTTCCCAGAGAGCGGTCTCTGGCAGGTCCCCCTAATGTGGGATCTCTCATGATGCCGGCATGAGGCTCATGGGCGTCGCCAGGAAAGCTCTCCCGCCTTGTGGGCAACTGAAATGACGAGAGACCTAGAGCGGTAGCCCAGGTGATGCATTTTGTCTCCATAGCATCGAGATGGGGATGCTGGGTGCACTGGTTTTACACACCCCGGTTCTCGAGAACAGAAGAGGAAGGGGGGCGACGCCAAGCCTGCCATCGCAAAGCACGACGGCCGCCATTCGGTTGAAGGAGCCGGCTTCGCGCCGCGCGCCGCAGGAACGGAGAGACTCGGCCGCTCACCTCCTGCAGCCTGCGGCGGTCTTGGCCGAAGCCACTCAGGGCCGCGCTGTCCCGCACCCCGGGCAGCTCCTGCCACAGAGACGGGGAGCTGGCGAAGGAGAGCGACAGGCGGGGCGAGGGGGACGGGGAGCGGGCCGCGGACGCGGAGGGAGAGGGAGCCAGGGGCAGGGCGAGGAAGTGCGTTGGCGGCGGCAGGGGCAGGGGCCGGCTCTGGATCCGCTGCACCTCCTGGGGGGTGTGCTCCTCGGAGAGCGTGTCCGAACGAGACTGGCGCTGGATCTCCCTGTCCAGGACCACTTCTCTGTACTGCTGGTAGAGCTGGGAGTCTGGCAGAGAGGGAGGGGGTGAGAGGAATGGAGAAGGATGAGGGAGGGGGTGAAAGGAATGGAGAAGGATGAGGGAGGGGTTGAGAGGAATAGAGAAGGATGAGGAAGGGGGTGAGAGGAATCGGGAGGGATGAGGGAGGGGGTGAGAGGAATGGGGAAGGATGAGGGAGGGG